CACAGAGAAGATTAAATTGGTAAATTTACAGATGAATCTGTGTAGGAAAGAGTTAGGCTCCTTTTAGTAGGATTTGTATCTTCAAGACCACTATATCACTATAGTGATGTTCTGATTGTCGTGACAATGGATTATCGGTCGTTGAAAGTCAAAGTTGGAGATGTCGGCAAACCAGTCATGTTGTTTTTTGTTATTATCCTTGTAAAATATAGTTCTTTCTTTCTTTAGGCCCCTGATGATAAAGACTTAAAAATAGAACCAATACAAGATGACATTGATATAGAACAGGACGACCAGACGGACGCCTTCGCTGTAAGTTCTTCCTTTTATTTTCGTCATTTTACGGTGTGGGCACACAAGCAGTCTTTGTCACTGATATTTGTCGTTGACTCGACTCTTGAGTAAAATCTCACGTGTGTCCGTGCTTACATGACAAGATTATCACGTTGTCGACAGGATTATAATACCAAACAAGTTTGATAATTGTCCACGATAGTTTTATCGTCTGCAAAACAGACTAGTCATCATTCATTTTAACCAAACAAATGAGGTCATGTAAAGATTGCGATGTCCTAACTAAATGGGCTACAGACTGTCTTGTTTTATAGTCTACAAGATAGACCATCATCATTCATTTTAAAGTAACCAAGCAAATGATGTCATGTAAAGTTTGCAATGCTCTAACTCAATAGGCTACAGACCGTCTTTTTTTGTATTTCAGGCGTATTTTGCAGATGGAGATAAAGAAAGAGATAGAGATCCTGTATATTCTGAAGAATTAGGTTTAGCGATTGAAAAACTCAAAGATGGCTTCTCTCTCACAGGATTATGGGAAGTCATTTCCTGAAATTTTTATTTTTTCGCGCTCAATCTTCTTCGGACGTTCGTGGACATTTTGTTTGATTCTTCGTAGGAATATTATTTATTTTGGAAACTTTACAGTCATATGATCTGTTTCTTGGCCAATTTGTTAATTTATTTGGTAATAATGCTTACTCTTTTCCAAACACCTGATGATACTTCACTTTGGAGGAGTCCACTACTATACAACTTTTACTCTCGATTTTGCCATACTTTGTACGAGATTTTGATTAATAGAATTATCTTGCTTGTACAGGTGTCATGCGTGAAGCAGACCATGCTTACTCTTTTCCAAACACCTGATGGTACTTCTCTTTTGAGAAGTCCACTACTATACAACTTTTACTCTTGATTTTGCCATACTTTGTACGAGATTTTGATTAACAGAATTGTCTTGCTTGTACAGGTGTCGTGCTTGAAGCAGACCATGCTTACTCTTTTCCAAACACCTGATGGTACTTCTCTTTTGAGAAGTCCACTACTATACAACTTTTACTCTTGATTTTGCCATGCTTTGGACGAGATTTGTGATTAACAGAATTGTCTTGCTTGTACAGGCGTCGTGCTTGAAGCAGACCATGTTTACTCTTTTCGAAACACCTGATGGTACTTCTCTTTTGAGGAGTCCACTACTATACAACTTTTACTCTCGATTTTGTCATACTTTGGACGAGATTTGTGATTAACAGAATTGTCTTGCTTGTATGTATTTTTTTTACTGTACATTGTTATTCATGTAGTAATTGTTATCATTATGTTGTTATCCGTCCATAATAAAATTAAACTTCTCTTATACTGTTTTTTTTTCGTGGAGCCACGGTGTCTCAGTGAGTTAGACGCTTGCTCCCTAACCTGAAGGTCTAGGGTTCAATCCTGGCATAGGTTGAGATAATACCTTCAGATTTTTCAACCCAGTTTCCCCCTGTCAGTGAGTTAGACGCTTGCTTGCTAACCTGAAGGTCCAGGGTTCAATCCCGGCATAGTTTAAGATAATACCTTCAGATTTTTCAACCCAGTTTCCCCCTGTCAGTGAGTTAGATGCTTGCTAACCTGAAGGTCCAGGGTTCAATCCCAGCATAGGTCAAGATAATACCTTCAGATTTCTCAACCCAGTTTCCCACTGTCAGTGAGTTAGATGCTTGCTCACTAACCTGAAGGTCCAGGGTTCAATCCTAACATAGGTTGAGATAATACCTTCAGATTTTTAAACCCAGTTTCCCCCTGTCAGTGAGTTAGACGCTTGCTCGCTAATCTGAAGGTGCAGGGTTCAATCCTAGCATAGGTTGAGATAATACCTTCAGATTTTTCAACCCAGTTTCCCCCTGTCAGTGAGTTAGACGCTTGCTCGCTAATCTGAAGGTCCAGGGTTCAATCCTAGCATAGGCTAGATAACACCTTCAGATTTTTCAACCTGGTTTCCCCTTGTCAGTGATGTAGGTAAGAGGGGCTGAAATGGAAAAAGTGTCTAGTCGTTGGGATGGGACAATAAACCGAGGCCCTGTGTGCTACAGGCTGTACACGTTAAAGATACCTCGACAGTTGGAAATCAAAAGAGAGCAGGCTAATGCAGCAGTCCTGGCAAAATTTCCCTCATTGCACACTGTATGGTGTTGCCCATTTCATTAGCCCACAAGGTGTTTAAAATCCTTCGACAGTTGGAAATCAAGAAACAGTAGGCTAATACGTTTGCAAAATTTCGATTCTTATAAAGTTAACAAGTGGTTGCCTAGTAACATACGCCCACTTTCCCGATACATTTTCAGTATATCAAGGGCAGTCACCTATCTGTGTCAAATCATACCAAAAATCTAATTTGTACAAGATATTGTTGATTTAAACAAACACATATTCTGACATAAACTGTCACCTCTATCGCCAACAAATTTTGATGAGTTTTTACTAAGTCAAGGGCAATAACTCAAATTCTGTTCAACTTCGATCTCATCAATATAAATGATCACACCAAATTTCATTAAAATCAGATAAAAACTGTAGTCTCTATTGAGTTCACAAACAAATCTCGATGCGTTGTTCCTAAGTCAAGGGCAATAACTCAATAACCGGTCATCTAAACATCGTCAAATTCGATCGCGACTAAGATCTCATCAATATAAATATTCCGCCAAATTTCTTTAAAATCGATTTAAAACTATAGCCTCTATTGTGTTCACAAGCCAGGCGGACGACAATATACAACCACATTATAATGTGGGCATATAAATAGATAGTGGACCACAGCCATATACGCCCACCACGGCATGCGGATGGTAAATATTCACGATT